TCATATTCAGCCATAAGGAACTCCTGCAAGCAGAGAATATAATACAGAAAATATAATATAATTTGGAATAGACCCTAAAAGATGACTGGAAGTCACATAAAAGTCTGATTTCGTTGAAAGTCTAAGAAAGGCTCATTATAGCTTACTATTAAGTAGATGGGGAATAGATGTTCTGAAGAAGTTGAAAATTCCCTTATTTTTATGAATCCCAATCTAGCTGAATTCAGGAGAAGGAAACATCTCAATGATAATGGATAGTGAGAAGTAAAGAATACTGAGAGAATGGGAGAGAAGACGAGGAATAGAGGTAATAATCAATCATAAGCTATCTTCATGCGTCAGATAAAACAAATACTTATTTGTTTCCTTCTCAGCTTTTTTGTGATTGTAAGAGATAACTCAAAAGTGGATCAGGCACAAAATACATAAGGAACTTTTCGTTCCAGAAGAAAAGCATGGAACTCTAGAAGAGATGTAGAAAAGACATAAAGCAGTTAAATCATCCCATCAACCAAAATGTCTCCCCTTGCACAGTTTGATGTCATCACCGCAAACATCAATACTGATAGGAAACGTTTTAACCCGAAATAGCCTCTAGCAGAATGCTGAGATTCCAACAGGTAAAAGCTCTTAGAATTGCAAAAGAGAACTAGGAAGTTGAACATTAACCCGGATACAGAAAAATGAGAACAACGAAAGACTACATGAGAAAAAAGTTGATGCATGAGAATAATATATATATATATATATATATATATATATCAAAACAGTTGACCTATTGATCCACAAAAAGCATATGGTGTTTGGTTGCACATAGGAGTGCCTAAATACTGGTGCTTCTTAGTTTTCAATAATGTAAAAAGTATTGAATGAAAAGTCACAAAAGAACTAATGTGTTAATGATGATACAATGTGATTATAAAGGAAAATGTGTTACTTCCACATGATGAGTCAAGGAAATGCATAACTTCATGCAATATTTCAAACATAACAGATTATCAGTGCTAGAACATGTCACAAGGTTGATTGTCTACTATAGTGAAAGTTAATACATGCTTATGGCAAACACCAAAAGAATCCCTGGAAACTGTAGAACTTGTAAAAACCAAGCATTCATCATAATCTTCCAAATGAAAGTGAAGAGATAACTTTTTTTG